CCATGGTATTTTCTCCCCATTCCCCCCCTACTCCCCGTTCCTGCCCCGTGCTTCCTGGTGCAGTGATTCCTACAGGCAGAACCACAACAAAAGCAGTTCCCAAACACTCATGAACAAAGCAGTATTAACTACTGTCATTTCTTTCACCACCGTGTTGCCGATGTTTTTTACCTAGGATTTTGTTACGTGTTTTTATGTAACAACACACTCTCCTTTGACCAAAACTTTAGTCAAGGCTCTCTGAGTCCTCTTCTTGACTAGACCCAAGCTTGGGCTTCCCTCTCTGTCTCTGTAGAATCCAGTTTGCGCAAGAATCCTCCTAAGTCAGTTTATCAAAAATTCCCCACCCTTGGTATCTGACCTTGGATAACTTGTCACCCTGGCCTGCCTTCAGCAAGAACCCTATCAAGTCAGTTTAGCCAGAAACCCCTTATCCTTGATGTTTCCCCTTAGTACATTTCCATCCACTGACCCTGCTACTGAGTTACGAGTCCACTTGACCTTGTTAGAATTGAGTCCAATTTTTCTCCCCCACGGCAAGACCCTGCTGCCGTGGTTCCTATACCCATCTCCATGGCCTCCCCCTTTGAATAAAGTTGCCTTACCATCTTTAGCAAGCATCGTGAATAGTTTTTTCTTGGAGTGTTCCTGAAACCACCAATGCAAAATTATAACTGGAACAGTGAAAGAGAGCTGACCTAACCAACTCCGTCTTCTAACCACCAAGCTGTCCTCGTTTACTCCTGGGTGTAGGCTGAACTAACTTTGGGAGGAATTTAGTTTCTTGTTTATAGTTGGAAACCTTTCCCCAAAACCAACCCCCTTCTTGCCTGGGGACTAGACTGCCTTTGTAGGACTAACAAATTGGCCACAAGATTAGAAATTATGGTTTAAGAGTCATGCAAATGGAAGCTATAAGATTTTGACCCTCCACAAACCACTCCTAAAATCAGTGCTTGAGATATTTTGCAGACCCTGCACTTGATGGCACCACCTAGACTGAGAAACTGGCTCATCTGATCTTGTGGCCCCAACCCAGGAACTGACTCAGCACAAGAGGACAGTTTCAACTTCCTACAGTTTCATCTCCAACCCAACGAATCAGCACTCTGGATTTACTGGTCTTCCTCCCATCCACTAAATTATTCTTAACCACTCTGATCCCTGAATGCAGAGAGACTGATTTGAGTAATAATAAAACTCCATCTTCCACATAGCCAGCTCTGCGTGAATGACTCTGTCTCCATTGCAATTCCCCTGTGTTGATAAATCAGCCCTGTCTGGGCATCCAGCAAGGTGAACCCACTAGGTGGTTACATTCCTAACACAAAGAAACCATAAACACTTCAGGAGATGGATATTCCAGTTACCCTGCTTGCATCACTACACACTGTATGCTTGTATCAAAACACCACCGGTACCCCATAAATACAGACAACTGTTATATACACATAATAATTTTTAAGTTTTTAAAATAATTTTAAATATGTCTTAATGCATTAGTTGCTTTACTAAGTATAAAACACAAGTCTGCAAATTTTTTCTACACGTTTTTTGGAGGCTTGCTTTCTCTATTATCCACGTGGGCAATACCCTCATAATCACTAAATACAAGAGACAATTCTCAATCCTCTTTTTACCATTTGACTGTACAAACACCTCCACCTTGAGCTCCTGATTCTCTCCCAGTTCTTTTTGTACCTTTTTTTTCTTTTTTGAGACGGAGTTTCACTCATGTTACCCAGGCTGGAGTGCAATGGCGCGATCTCGGCTCACTGCAACCTCCGCCTCCTGGGTTCAGGCAATTCTCCTGCCTCAGCCTCCTGAGTAGCTGGGATTACAGGCACGCACCACCATGCCCAGCTAATTTTTTTTTTTTTTTGTATTTTTAGTAGAGACGGGGTTTCACCATGTTGACCAGGATGGTCTCGATCTCTTAACCTCGTGATCCACCCGCCTCGGCCTCCCAAAGTGCTGGGATTACAGGCTTGAGCCACTGTGCCCGGCCCTTTTTGTACTTTTTGACTGCTCTTTCTGGTGTTCTTTTTCTTCCTACCTCTTACTGCAGTTATTTCCTTAGATTTATCCATAATAATTCGCTTTTTTGTCTGATTGATCTCTTTCACTGCTCCTGCCTTCTAGAAAGATACTCAAACAATAGTCCATGGATTAGTTGCATCAGAATCATTCAAGGTACTTGTTAAAAATACAGCTTCCTGGGGCCACTAAGATTAAAACTTCTGAAACTCAGAATTTTAACATAATTTGAAGGAAAGAATCATAATGAAGGAGCTCCAAAGGATTTTGGGGAGAAGATAGTCCAATGATCACTGTTCTAGAAGATGCTGCTATTTATATTTATTTCTTTAGTCAATCCTGAGGGTTTCCTGAGCTCTAGCCCACTCATTCTAACAGTTTACTGGTCACCCCAGCTATATTTCCCTCCCTCAATTCATCCCAAACCTGCAGGAACTATGTATGTCCTTTATGTTTCTTATATTCCTTTAATGACACTATTTATAACCACCACATATAGCCACCCACGCTAGAAATCTGATACCTACATCTTCTCTCCTTTCTCACCCCTGCATCTAGCTGATAACATAATCCTGCTGACCAGGCCTGTGAAATATCATCTGAATCCACCTGGTTTTTCACGTACTGCACAGTGACCATTTACTTCGCACCTTCATCTCTTTCTCGGGATATTGTAATAGTTTTTAGACTTGTCTAACACCCTGATTCTCTTATCTCTAATCCATCCTGTATATCCCTATGAATCATCATTCTAGGGCAGCACTGTCTTCCTGCGATGATGCAAATGCATTGTCCAATATGGTAGCCCCTACCCTCATGTGACCATTGAGAGCTTCAAATGTGATGGGTGTCAGTGGAGGACTGCATTTTAAATATAATTGAATTTAAATTCATATAGACGGCTAGGTGTGGTGGCTCACACCTGTAATCCCAGCACTTTGGGAGTTGGAGGCAGGTGGATCACCTGAGGTCAGAAGTTTGAGACCAGCCTGGCCAACATGGTGAAACCCCATCTTTACTAAAAATACAAAAATTAGCCACCGTGGTGGTACGCACCTGTAGTCCCAACTACTCAGGAGGCTGAAGCAGGAGAATCACTTGAGCCTGGGAGGCAGAGGTTGCAGTGAGCCAAGATTGCACCACTGCACTCCAGCCTGGGTGACAAAGTGAGACTTTGTCTCAAAAACAAAACAAAACAAAAAACTTATACAGCCACTTGGATCTAGAGGCTACCATATTAGACACCACAGTTCTAAAATATTAGTCTTTTCTTATCTCATTGCTTTCAAAAAGCTCATTAGCTGCAGGATGAGGTCTAGATCGTAGGATGAATCACCTCCATAATTTAACCTCCTCTGTAGTTTCCACCATCACCATCTACCTTACCATCCCATTCCCAAATATACTCTAATATGGTAAAACCTTGCTTTTTCTAAGCAAGCCATAATTTTTCGATCTTCCAGCTCTTGATCCTGCTGTTTCCTCCATGTTTGATCTATTTTTCAAGGGTTATTAAAGAAAGCTGTGCCCCCACTCCCAACAGAAGGAACATCCCCTTATCATGGACCTTGGACAAGCCATTTAGCATCTCTCAGCCCAGTTTTCTCATCTGTAAAGTGGGAATGATAACAGGTTCTCTTTTACAGAGCTCTTGGGGGATTAGATATTGCATTATTCAGATTCCATCACTAAGAAAGCCTGCAATAAAAATAGCTGTTATTATTTTCTGTCCTCCTGTCACATTTATCATGTGGTATCAGGCGCCTTTCCAGATAAGACTCTCTCCCCTCAAGACTGTGAGCTTGTTAGCAAGAAAGCCTCGATCTTGTTCATGTTTGTCCTTCAGCATCTGGCACATTGTTGCCATTTGACAAATGCCTTGGCTGGGTGGCAAACAAATAACTTAGCCAGTTACTCACATACGATTGCATAGAGTTTTTTGTAAGTATGACATTTTTGTGTATATTTTTAGGGAGGAGTAAAAGAGTAGCAAGAATTAGAGAAAAAGAAGATGCCAACAACTTTTCTTTTTAAGCATCAAATGTTTCTCATTACTGCCCAGAAAAACTGGCATAAGCTGTTGTTAAATCTGTGTCCCTTCTCGCTTGACTGGAGTTTGAGTTTTAACATTTTGCCATTCTGACTTTCCTTTCTGAGCCCCTTGGGTCCTCTCCTCCTACCCGCTCCCTAGGTACTACGTTTTCATCATTGTCACCACGGCAACAGCAGGGATGCCCCATTCCTCACAGCTCCGCACAGCTAAACTCTGGTCGCCTTTGTCCACCGAGCTAGCTGAATTCTTTATATGTACGTCACTAAATCAACTATGTTCTACACAGAACTTCATCCATTATTCGACCTGAAGAAAAAAAAAATGATGTGTACCAATTTCTTCTTCTGGGAATGGCCTTTTTCCAGACCTGCCAATACTCTTGAATGAACCAGACATTTTTGGTCCCTAGGAACAAATATAAAAATTGCCAGTGTACGTGCGTCCAATACAAGTGCGGTGCAATTTTAAAGCACGCAACAGAGCATTCATAATGGGTTTCCCTTTTAAAAGCACAGTAGACCAAAAATAAACCTGACAAAGGGCAGCTGTAGAGTTTTAACACGTGGAAAACTCCACAAGCAGCAGTTATGTAACTTGAAAGAAACATGATAAATATTTCACACCATAAGACGAACTTCCAACTCTGACACTGAAAAAAAAAAGCAAAGAACACGAAACGAACGCACCTCAAATCTCCAAGGAGCAAAAAGCTTAAGCTGAAAAGGGACCGAGGCTGTGCTAAAATCTGAGACCTGACCTCCAGCACTAGTCTTGACTTTTTTTTGTCTCGAGTCCGAGGCGGAGCCCGCGAACCCCATCTCCTCAGAGCGCCACCCCCTCAGCTTCTCCCGTTGGGCAGAAATTTTCCGATTTTCTCCACCCCTGGGCTGAAAAGCCAGAAAGAAGTTCTGAGCCAAGGAGGGGAAGAAAGGAGTTGGGGCAAAGCAGGAGGCGTTTCCTCACCCGCACACACCCCCGTCCCCCAGACACCCAACCCCCCACCCCGCCCCCCAGCCTGCCGCGCCTCCCGCCCCCGGCTCCCCGCCCTAGGGACAGCTGGCAGCCCCGCGCGGACCAGACACAAAGCCGATCAATCCCGGAGGCGTGGGGGCGGAGGGACGACCCGCCGCCGCTTTCCCGGGCGCTGCTCTCCTCCCGCTGCCCCCTCGCTAGGACCCGGCGGACGCCTCGCCTGGTTTTCACGCCCGCAACCCCCCACTCCCACACCCCCAAAAAAGGACAGACCCCATCCCTGGGCTGGAGGACCCGCCTCTTGGCAGCCAGCTGAGAAGGCGCCCGTGGGGGCGGGAAACTAACATCCCATCTAGAGCCGTCCCTCCCCTTCCTCCCCTCCCCTACTCTCTGCTCCTCTCCCGCCCCAGAAGTTCGAGGGCCCCCGGCCCCCTGCGCGCCTGCCGCCGGGACCCTCGACGTTGCCTGAGCAGCCGGCTCCGGCCCCGCGAAGATGGCGAGGAGCCGCCGCCGCCTCCTGCTGCTGCTGCTGCGCTACCTGGTGGTCGCCCTGGGCTGTAAGTTGCTCGGGTTCCTGTGCCCTTGCACCCACTCCTGCCTGGACCAGCCTGCCCCAACCCTCCGGCCCCCCACGGGGCTCTCGCGCGCTGCGTCCGGGCCGCTCTGGGCCGAGGTCGCCGCGGGGCGTCTGACTTTGCGCCCCAGGGCGCCGGAGGGCGGACGCGAGGGGCAGGGAGCGCGAGGTCGTGGGCTTCCTGTAAATTGTGTCTGATTGTGTCAGTTCTAGATACAGAAAATTAAGGGTCCCCATTAGCGGGTTCTCATCTGTTTGCAAAGTTGGGGTAAGTTTTCAGACAGAGGGACGTGATTCGAATGCAAAACTCACTCACTACCCACTCGTAAGATGCTAAGATCCCAAGAAAGATGGCATCACCGGGAGGCGGGCGCCGGCCACACTGTGAGTCCGGGGAGGGGCAGTCCGCGTGTTCTGCGCTCTCCGGCGTCTCAGCCCAGCCGGCGCGAGGCAGAGCACTCGTGGGGCGGGGGTGGGGAGCTCGTGGCTGCTGAGCCAGAATTACTTTTATCCTCTCCACCTGCACATCTACATTCAGTTAGAGAAGTCTGGTCTGGGGACTCTAGCCAGCTGCTGTGTCCTCAGGGGACGTCCAACGGGACGATTGTTAGAAAGATGCAGAAGCCACATGATCCAGTAGCTGGGGAGACGTCCCAAAGCCAATTTCACCGGATGATTTTAAACAGGATTTTCACGGATTCTGGGCTCATGAGATTTAAAATCCTGGGAACATTGCTGTTACTTTGTTTTCTTCGCGTTAGCTTTTTAGGAAAATGTAAGAAATTACAATAGACCCCCTTAAGCAATGCAGTTCTACTTTTGCTTTTTCTTTCTTTTTCTCCCACCTTTTTTGGCTGGCTTGCTTTTCTCTTTCTCTTTCTTTCTTTCTTCTTTCTTTTTCTTTCTTTTTTCTTTCGTAAAATGAGTTATTGTTGCTACTCACATTCTGGTGATGTAATACAATACTTAACCTGCGGGACGGTGTCTAGTGTCTAATATCACAATACAATGATATTTTCTCACACTCCCGCTGCCCAAGTGATCATCGCATAGCTCAAGTGATGTGAGCCACGTCCCTTTGTGGAGGAGGAAGGTGCACATTGTCTCCGGTAAGAGACATGTGCTGACCAATGTTATATAAAGTCAAGCCAGAAAGACAGAGTTTCACAATGAAACCCCTGTGCAATTTTGAAATATCAACTGATATACAGAACACACAGAGGAAAAAAAATGCACTCCTGCTAAAAGGCAACAGAGAGGTAGGCTGGAGAAATTGTAACAGAACGTCTGAGAAAGTTACATATTCTGCTGAAATCTTAAATTTCAAAGAGAAAAGTGTGTGCCTTTTAGGGTAGAATTGTCACTAATTAAAAACAGAAAATCGTTCTGCTCTGCTATTCCTATTCAGTTACCAACACAGAAACAGTATACCCTAAATTTGAAATTGTAGTGAAGAAACAACCAAGAAGCAAACAAAAGAACAGATGAACGGGCCTGAGTGAGCTCTTCAGGCTTTAAGTAAATATAACACATTGGCTCTGCTAACCTTGATTCCTAGAGGGGATAAATTTGAAAGTGTTGTGGGAACTTTTCTATATTGTTTCTGAGATACCAAAAGATCTGGCATTGCAAGACTGTTTTCTTTTCTTTGTGTGTGGGTGGGTTTTTTTGTTTGTTTGTTTGTTTTTTTATGTTTAAAACAATTTTAGAATAGTTTGGATTTAAAGAAAAATTCCAAAGCTAGTATAGAGAGTTCCCACATACTCCACACCCACTTTCCCCTATTGTTAATATCTTTCATTAGCATGGTACACTTCATTCAGATCTCCTTCATTCTTACCTAATGCCTTTTCTATTCCAGATATGGAATAGCCATCCAGGCTATCATATTACATTTATTTGTCATGGTTCCTTAGGCTCCTCTTGGCTGTAGCAGTTTCTCAGGCTTCCCTTGTTTTCTCTTACTGTGGCAGGTTTGAGGAGTATTGGTCAAGTATTTTGTAGAATGACCATCAGTTGATGTTTCTCTGATATTTTTCTCATGACTAGACTGGGGCTGTAGGTTTTTTGGAGGAAGATCAGAAGATGGTAAGGGGCCTCGGTAAAGTGACATTTTCATCATATCATCTCCAGGGAACATACTGTACATATGATTTGTTGCTGTTGATGTGAACCTTGATCACCTGTAATCACACTCATTGTGTAGTGCATACCAGTTTTCTCCACAGAGCACCTACCGTTTTTTCTTCATTTCCATGCTAGATTTTTTGGAAGGAACTCACTACATGCAACCCACCCTTCTTCAGGAAGGAGAGTTATGCTCCATCTCCTTGAAGGTGGAGTATCTTCATAAATTATTTGGAGCTTTTCTGCATGGGAGATGTGTCTCTTCCTTCCCCTCATTTATTTATTTACTCATTTACTTTTCTATCAGTATAGGCTCATGAGTATTCTCTTTATACTTTGGGTTATAATGCAATACTATTTTATTTAGTAAAGACTTAGTGGATTTCTTTTTTTTTTTTTTTTTTTTTTTTTGGGACAGAGTTTCACTCATGTTACCCAGGCTGGAGTGCAATGGCGCGATCTCGGCTCACCGCAACTTCCGCCTCCTGGGTTCAGGCAATTCTCCTGCCTCAGCCTCCTGAGTAGCTGGAATTACAGGCACGCGCCACCATGCCCAGCTAATTTTTTGTATTTTTAGTAGAGACGGGGTTTCACCATGTTGACCAGGATGGTCTCGATCTCTTGACCTCGTGATCCACCCGCCTCGGCCTCCCAAAGTGCTGGGATTACAGGCTTGAGCCACCGCGCCCGGCCTGATTTCTTATGCTATTATTACATATTCGTCTTTTCAGTATTCTTCTCAGATGTAAGTGTACCACTCTTTTGGCCACTCCTCTCATGTACAATGTCATGCTTACTCCCTGCTTTCCTTTTGTTCCTGCTGTTTATCAACATTTTTTATATCTTTCTGAGTAGTCTGGAGGATTGTTTTTTGTTGCTGTTCTTTTTATTTAAACCATGATGTCAGTATCCCTGTGGATATATGGACATTTTCTTGTGTGTTTAGTTGAATTATATTTTTCTTTCCCACGCCATTGGGAAAGGAATTTCTTGATGTTTACTCACCACTGTATATCCAGGGCCGAGCAAAGTTCCTGGTTAATAGTAGGGATAAATATATACCTGTTGATTCTATAATATCTTAGTCCATTCCTGCTGTAACAAAATACCATAAACTGAGTAGCTTATAAACAACATTTATTTCTCACAGCCCTGGAGGCTGAGAAGTTCACAATCAAGATACAGCAAATTCAGTGTCAGGCAAGGGCCCACTTTCTGGATCATAGATTGAGCCTTCTCAGGGTGATTGCCCACGTTGGAAGAGTAAAGGCAGCTCTGCGGTCTCTGTAAGGGCACTGTTCTCATGACCAGATCACAGTCCAAACCTTCACCTCCTCATACCATCACATTGGTGATTAAATTTCAACATACAAATTTGGAGGGGGACGTAAATCATAGCAGATGGAATGGGGAAGAGGCAGGGTAAGTAAAAAGAAGTATATGGATTGAACTGACTGCAGTATAAATCATGAAGCTCTAACTTCATGTTAAGTAGATGGAGTATCAGACTTCTTTGAGCCATCATTTAAGCTGATATTTGAAAGAAAATAATAGGAATGAGTATTCCCTGTTTGTTGGGGTGTTGTTATGCTTTTTGGGGTCTCTCAAGCCTACAAGCTAATCATAAATGAGAGCAGTTCCTGATTCTACCTAGGCAGTAGCAGCTGGTCCTCAGATCTGGACTGGAACCTGATCCAGGCGCTTAGCCTAAGTCTAATCTCTCATCAACTGATAAAGATTGTGGTGGGAGAGAGGTCTGAATCTTTTGTAAAATCACAAGGCTTTGCCTTTTTGCCAGAACTGACCCACAACAGCACTCCAGGGAACCAAGACCAGGAAAATTCTGCCCTCTGTGTCTATTATTAAGAAACAACTGTCATAATCAATTTGCTAGAGAGAACTGGTTTCATGCTGGCATAGGCTTAATTATCTGATGAACAGAAAGGTTAAAATGGGCCTGTAGGTGGATTTAACAACCATTTCAAGACTACAAAATAAATTATATTAAAAAGAATGAAGTCAAAAACAAAAACTTCAGCCTGAGCGGCACACTGAGTTCTCTATGACTGAGAACACTCATTTATCCTCCTACATGAGCAGTTTAATGAGAAGAGCCCTTGGGAGCTTACAGATGTCCACCACCCATAGTTTCTATTACATTGATTTCCTTCTGTGAGCTTTCTCCATAGAGAAGATGTATCAAAATATAGAGGTAAGAGCTGCTAATTTTATTGAAGTCAGACTACCAGGAAGCTATAAAGGCCATTGCTTAAAATAATATTTTTTCATCCCATAGTAATATAGTAGTAATACTGCTGAGTCAATACTCCAGTTTACCCTTCTTGATAGATTGATGTTTTGAGGAAGATGATGGTGAGGACGGAAAAGGGGAATCAGAACCTGGGTCAGGTGCTTCCTTTGGCAAAAGCAGTAAAAGAAAACTTAAAACCATATACTGTTTTCTTGGACAGTATTACTGTTAATAAGGCTAGAACTCAGAAAAATCATCCAACTGTATTACTTTTCTATTGCTGTGAAGCATGGCCATAAACAAACCAATACAAATTTATTGTCTTAAAGTTCTAGAGATCAGAAGTCTGAAATAGGGTCTCACTGGTCTGAAATCAGGGTATCGGCAAGGAGCATTCCTTCTCAATGTTCTAGGGCAGAATCTGTTTCCATGGCTTTTCCAGCTTCTGGAGGCTCCCCACGCGTGGCCCTGTTCCACCAGCTTCTAACTCTGTGACACCAGGCTGCCACCTCTCTAGTTTTCTCTCTTCTGCTTCCTTCTTCCACTCAGCAGACCCTTGTCATTACCTTGGACTCACCTGAGTAACTCTGGATACTTACTTATTT